GTATATATATATATATATATATATATATATATATATATATACGTATATGTATATATACGTATATGTATACAACAAACGTGTTTGTATTTCTGTTCCTCGAGAGCGCTTAAGCAAAGAACAAATTTCTTTATCAAACAAATCCTCGATACGCGGACGTGTTTTTAAGTAATTGCTTTCCCTCCGTAGCTAAACACCTCCATCTGGCGTTAATTTTAATCAAGTAAAATACGCTCAACTTCTTCCGAAACATATCTCATTCCAAGCTTTAAGAAAAGATACAAAAAAATATTATATTCTATTTGATAGATATTTATATATACAGAAAATAATACACAATTTTTCTTTTTTCTTTTCTTTCTTAATTTAAATATTTTTCTAAATTGCTTATGATTGCTTATATCTAATATAAGCAAAGATATCAGAAATAGAAGAATCTTCTAAGACGTGAATAAGATTATGAAAAATACGAATTACTCGTTAATTGTAATAACAAAACAATCTATGTTTTTGTAATAACTAGGTAACCAACTTTTATGCAGAAGTCGAGGGATCCATATCTGTTACGCACAATCCCCACCACAAATTTTCTCATTTCTCTATTCTATCTACTAGCTATATTCCCATTTTTCTTTCCAATTTTTCTATTGATCTATATTATTCTTTCCATTGCCCATTCTATTCATTGATTTTATTATTGATTTCGTTTATTTTAGTTTAGATTTAGATTTTCTTCCGTCAAAAGAATTGACCAGATATATTCGATCATTAATATCAGTATGGTTAGAATAATGTGATAAATTAACACAGGATTAAATCTATTATCTTAAATAATAATAATCGATCTAAATCCATTTTAATCCATTTCGAATGTTTGGCTGTGGGTGGTGGCCTCCAATCGTTACTGCACATAATACTCTTGGTGGCTTTCAAAGTTGTTATTACCCAGTGTTAATTTAAAATAAGTGAAAAGACAAAAAAAGACATGAAAGATATGTTTACCTGGAGAAGCTGATAATCCTAGGCAATGAGCGTTCCGTGATGCAATGATACTGGCATGGCGCTCTCCGGTACGACACTGAAACTGTATTCGACTCGTCAAGTGTCCTACCTCGAAAGGTTTGTCTCCTGGACTGCCACCGTTCAGAAACCTACATACACTCACACCTACTACCTGGTTGCTGGCACGCTATTGATCCTGGCCCAGACACCCGTCGACCCACGCAGACGCTTAGCGTTGCCGCGTCGCTTTAGACATGACGTCATTCAATTCCTCAAACCCCGTACCGCAACTGAGCCAGCATCATGCATCGTCCTTTTCTTTCTTGGTACAACTACCACGAAACTACTAATTCCCGTTCAACATATTTTATCGTCTCTACAAATATTATGATTTTCAATATAATCACATTGATTGGCAGAATTATACATACCATGTTATTTTCCATATTCTTTTTTTTTAAAATATTCCTTATTAACAATCTTTATACAATTTTGTAAGAAAATACTTTCCAAATTGTCCAAATTGAATAAATCGATTAATCATAAATCATTGATCGATCATAAATATCGATATCTATCGATCTATTTCTATATAATTTCTATGATATACATATTTTAAATTAAAAACAATTTATTTCAATTTTTATTAGAATATATTAATAGAATATTTTTTTATTTTTTCTAAATATGTAAATATATAAATTTATATATTATATACTTTTTTTTATACAATAATATATAATATATTATATAATATATATTATAATAAATAATATATTATATAATTTTGACAAATTGCAAAATTTTAAATCTATACAAGAATTATAAATATTTACTACAATTTATGAATATAATTTTTCTAATTAATAACTATTAAAATTAAATTAAAAAATAATATATAAAATTTAATAAAAATAATAAAAATTATAATAAAATTACAATAAAAATTTGAAAATAATTTAACACATAT